AAGCAAATCCACTTGGTTAGAGTGAGAATTCAAAGTGAATTTCAAATTTAAAGAGACTCTATAGTCACCAGAACAAATACAGCTTATTGAATATGTTCTGGTGAGTAGAATCACTCCCTTCAGGCCTTTTTTTGCAGTAAACACTGTCTTTTCAGAGAAACTGCAGTGTTTACATTACCTCCACTGGCCACTCCTCAGATGGATGCTAGAGGTGCTTCCTGGGGCAGTGCTGCACAGTGTGACTGATATTCAGTGTCTCCACCCTCTGCATGGAGACACTGAACTTTCCTCATAGAGATTAATTGATTTACTGTATCTCTATAAGAATATGCTGATTGGCCAGGGTGGTGTTTGGCTCTGCTCCTGGTCCGCTTCCTTGGCTGAGATAATCAGAATAGACAATCTCAGCCAATCCAATGCTTCCCTATGGAAAAGCATTGTGATTGGCTGAGGTCATCACTTCTGATGATGTCAGTCAAGGAGGCATATCAGGGGCAGACTGCACCAGCAGACTGAAATAAAGGTAACATTTTACTATATTTACAGGGAGGGGGATAGATAGTGTTTTTAACACTATAGATTCAGCAATACATGTTTGTGTTCCTGACCCTATAGTGTTCCTTTAAAGCCAGAGTACATGAACTGAAAGCATTGCTATTTTGGCCTAAAATTTGAAATTTACTTTAGTAAAAACCCTGGCAGTGTAAGGAGTGCTGATACTCCACAATGGAACAGTTTACTGGGAACTCAATATGCATAGTGTCAAGAGGAAACCTTGAATACCTCGAACTAGGGAGCTCATTCCACACCAGCTACCAAAACAACTATCAACCGTAATAGGGAAAATTTACTTCATACTTGCCATAATTTTCTTTTCCATGGCGGCATCATTCATTCATCACTCATGGGTAGCTATTCCCCCAGCCAGCACAGGACAGGAATGAAAACTAATTAATCAGACTAATTAGGTATAAAAGGTGCCTTATCCCTTCATACCCTAGTCCAATTATAAAGCGTAAAAACATAAAGGGTTCCCTGATGCTGCCGTGAAAAATAGCCAGGAAAATAAAATTACGGTAAGTATGAAGTAAAGTTTCCCTATTCCTGGCTAATAATGGCTGCATTACTCAAACATTAAAGGGACACTATAGTCACCCATTTCAGCTCAATGGAGTGGTCTGGGTGCCAGGTCCCTCAGGTTTTTCAGAGAAACTGCTACGTTTACATTTGGGGTTAAGGCAGCCTCTAGTGACTGTCTTCCAAACAGCCACTAGAGGCGCATCTGTGACGCTGCAGGCATTTAATGCCTCCATCACGCAGAGGGTCCATAGGAAAACATTGAAAAATGCTTTCCTATGGACACTTTGACGTCGGCGGGGGAGGAGAGTGTGGCGAAACCAACCTCGCCACTGTACACTGGAGAAGCCTGGTTGCTCGCCTGCTCCCTTTAGACTATGGCCCTGCAGTTCAGACCTGTTATTTTTCCTGCTGAAAGGTTTATTTGTGCCTTTCTGCGGACTGTTAAAGCCATGCTTCCCCAGATAGCTATGCCATGGAGCCCAGCCGTATACTGAAAGACTGTATGAAAGACTTTGGCTCCATGGCGATTGAACTGTATGTATGTGATCTGAGCGCCATTCTGTAGTAATGTGCACTCAGATCTAAGCTATCGGGGGATATGTAGAATGTCTATGTTTTATGGAATAAATGTAACTGTATGTAATTTTATGTCTTTTATTGTATTGTTACTGCCATGTGGTTAATGGAGTTTTGCCTCTGTGCTGGGAGATAATTGAATTACTTCACAATTATCTCCAGGACAGAGAGGAGGGATTGTGATGTAATTGTGGGTGTGTTTTATTTTTTTATGGTTTTAAACGATTGGTTTTTACTGTGTCCCACCCTGTGGGATGTCCCCTTGCATGGGGACTTGCATAAAAGCCAGTGTGTGGCCATTACAGGGGAGTTCCTGCTTAACCCTCAAAGTGAAGTGTCGTCTCATAATTGGGGGAGGATTTACTGTATGCTGTTAGAGACTGATTGCCAGGAGTGTAAGCCGCTTGGGGGCTTTTCCTGTTCGTCTGCTAGCAGCTATTCGTGTGTCTCCAGTTCGGGAGTTTCGAGTATTCCCTTGGTATGCAGTTCGGGAGTTTTGAGTATTCCCTTGGTTGCAGTTCGGGAGTTGGTGAATTCGTGGGTTTGCAGTTCAGGAGATTGGTGCTTGCAGTAGCTGTCGGTGCAGCTGAAAAAGGGGAATATCGCCTAAACGGTTTTTAACCTCTTTTGGGCAAAACGGTCCGTTACAATTGGTGGCAAGCGACGGGATCATTTCCACAGCCCAGAAGGACAGCTATAAGACAACACCAGTTCCTGGATTACAAATTGAGGGCAACGCCAGTACCCGTACAGCGCCCCTATCTACAAAGGAACTCAGAAAATGGAGGAGAAGTTTCAAAATAGATTGTACTGTTGCATATCCCTGAGGTCTGGAGCAGTGTCAGAGGAGGACATGTTGAGGTACAGAGAGATTGCCAGAGCCGGGTTGTGGGACGAAGCCCTAGAGAAAGTACAGTATTCGCGAGGGGATCGGCGCCGCAGCAGAAGGCAGCGAATCCTGGCTCGAATGGCAGAGCGGATGCCCCTCCTGAGAAAACAGACCGAAGAAGCGTGGGTGACTAGACTCGAGATTCTAGTATATGCAGAACTGGCGCTCGACGACGCATACCAGGCGATACAGTGGTACGCAGCTCAGTGTGTCCCCGAGATGGCAGAGTATGAGTTCCCAGAGGGCGGAGATTACGCTGGCCCTGGCCTATTTTGGGATAATATTGACGATGAGGACTTTGGGAAAGCTACCGACTCTCGTTTTTGGGACCTGTGTTACGACCGAGAAGACATGCTGGGTCTCCCTAGCGCTGTTGATCTCGAGACAGACCTACGGTATCTGGTCGCCAAGGAATGTGACCTGGAGTGGGATTACCTGCGACTCATCAATGAGGCCCGGGAAGAGACAACCGGTCCTCTTCCCCAACAGCAACCAGCGGTACCCGAGGTGGTGGACCTCCTAGAATGGTCCTGTGAGGATCCCCAGCGGCAGTGTGTGTCCCAGGGAGCTGAAGGTGCCGTCCTTCCTCCCCAGCGGCAGTGTGTATTACAGGGAGCTGAAGGTGTCGTCCTTCCTCCCCAGCGGCAGTGTGTGTCCCAGGGAGCTGAAGGTGTCGTCCTTCCTCCCCAGCGGCAGTGTGTGTCCCAGGGAGCTGAAGGTGTCGTCCTTCCTCCCCAGCGGCAGTGTGTGTCCCAGGGAGCTGAAGGTGTCGTCCTTCCTCCCCAGCGGCAGTGTGTGTCCCAGGGAGCTGAAGGTGTCGTCCTTCCTCCCCAGCGGCAGTGTGTGTCCCAGGGAGCTGAAGGTGCCGTCCTTCCTCCCCAGCGGCAGTGTGTGTCCCAGGGAGCTGAAGGTGTCGTCCTTCCTCCCCAGCGGCAGTGTGTGTCCCAGGGAGCTGAAGGTGCCGTCCTTCCTCCCCAGCGGCCGTGTGTGTTCTTAGGAGAGGAGACAGTTGGTCCCTCTCCTCAGCAGTCAAGTGAGTCCCAGGGAGCCGAAGGTACCGTCCTCCTCCCTCCCCAGCAGCAGGACAATATATTGAAAGGGGAGACAGTCGGTCCCCCTCTCCCCCAGCAGGGAGAGTGTCAGGGAGAAGAGCTTGTTGCCCCCTCTCCACAGCGGCAGCGTAGCCCACCAAGGGGAGATGAGAAGCCCCACAACCGTGCAGATGGGACCGTGGTCTCTGCACTTACAGCACAGGGGGTAGGGACGGTCGGTTCTGCCCCCCAGCGACAGGGCTGTTTAGCCAAAGGGGAGACAGTCGGTCTCCCCCTCCAGCAACCAGGCTCCAACCAGACTACTCCCGTGGTAGTGCTGGCACCAGGACAGAGTACCGCTGGTCTCTGCCCACTCAGCAACCCACCCAGTCCGCTTACCAGTCACCCACACAGCCATGGTGAGGCGCCTGGACATGGACAACGTTCTCCTCTACCCAGGTGTAGTAACCAGTTCTTGTGGGTGGGCTGTATTACTGATTGTGTTTTGTGGGTGGGCTGCTGGACTAACAAGGGCACTGACCGGCATGAGGTCAGATACCCTGTTAGTCTGATTGGTAAAGGGGAGAAGTGTGACAAAACCAACCCCGCCACTGTACACTGGAGAAGCCTGGTTGCTCGCCTGCTCCCTTTAGACTATGGCCCTGCAGTTCAGACCTGTTATTTTTCCTGCTGAAAGGTTTATTCGTGCCTTTCTGCGGACTGTTAAAGCCATGCTACCCCAGATAGCTATGCCATGGAGCCCAGCCGTATACTGAAAGACTGTATGAAAGACTTTGGCTCCATGGCGATTGAACTGTATGTATGTGATCTGAGCGCCATTCTGTAGTAATGTGCACGCAGATCTAAGCTATCTGGGGATATGTAGAATGTCTGTTTTATGGAATAAATGTAAGTGTATGTAATTTTATGTCTTTTATTGTATTGTTACTGCCATGTGGTTAATGGAGTTTTGCCTCTGTGCTGGGAGATAATTGAATTACTTCACAATTATCTCCAGGACAGAGAGGAGGGATTGTGATGTAATTGTGGGTGTGTTTTATGGTTCTCCTGTAAACGATTGGTTGTACTGTGTCCCACCTTGTGGGATGTCCCCTTGCATGGGGACTTGCATAAAAGCCAGTGTGTGGCCATTACAGGGGAGTTCCTGCTTAACCCTCAAATTGAAGTGTCGTCTCATTATTGGGGGAGGATTTACTGTATGCTGTTAGAGACTGATTGCCAGGAGTGTAAGCCGCTTGGGGGCTTTTCCTGTTCGTCTGCTAGCAGCTATTCGTGTGTCTCCAGTTCGGGAGATTCGAGTATTCCCTTGGTATGCAGTTCGGGAGTTTCGAGTATTCCCTTGGTATGCAGTTCGGGAGTTTCGAGTATTCCCTTGGTGGAAGTTCGGGAGTTGGTGAATTCATGGGTTTGGGGTTCAGGAGATTGGTACTTGCAGTAGCTGTCGGTGCTGCTGAAAAAGGGGAATATCGCCTAAACGGTTTTTAACCTATTTTGGACAAAACGGTCCGTTACAGAGAGGTCACCAGCGCTGAGGGAGCCTGGCGCTGGAATAAGGCTCGGCACCACGGGAGGGGGACCCTGAGTTTAAGAAAACCGCTTTGTTTTCCTGACACTATACTGATCCTTTAATATCAGGGCTGGGGGGGGGGGAACAGACTTAAATGGCCAAATGCTGCCAAAGAAGAATAAATGTAATTTCAACAAACGGAGGATACTGATGACAAAACTTCCCTGCCAAAAGAGTTGGGAGGAGATGCCACATCCAGTTTATAATGTTTTATAAAGGTCATTAGAGAAGACCAGGTTGCTGCCTTACAAATATTCTCA